TGATAGGGTTGGGTTCAGTAAGGGCTGATCCTCTCTGTGCTACCAACAGTGTAGCAACAGTCTGGAATAGAGAGTTAGTTGGAGGGGAGAGCACTGTACTGTACATTGGCTAAAGAAAGAAAGAGCGCGCTGATGATGCGCATTGAAAGAGACCGAGAGTCAATGGGTAGAAGTAGAATGTGACCTGTCATCAATCCCGAGAGGTTCCTTCCGTCTGTGCATCTGTCACATTCAACACCAGTCAGTCCGTCAGTCCACTGCATCCACTGCATCTACTGCATCCACTTCACTTCCTCGACTGCATCCACTTCAATCGGCCACTACTCTACTTTAGGTTCTCTCTTCCTTTGAGTTACTGTAACAATCGCCGATGGGATTGTTACGAGGCTGACACCTCACTTCCCACCCATTACTCTCCCCACTACTCATCCACTGCTGCATGGAGAGTCAGTCTGTCCACCGATAGGTACAGTACATTCACTTATCCCTCGGTTGTTGGGTACCAACTCCATACTTCTCATTCGCTAACGGGAACCAATTGGATCCTCTCCCCTGAGATAGAAAAAAAAACAATAAAAAAAAAGAAACGAAACGAAGCGAACGGTGCTGCCATCCCGGCCATCCCGTGGTATCCCTTGCGTGATATCTAACGGTTCCTCCAGTATCTCGTTCGAAGGGAGACAGCAAAGACCGAAGCTGCAATCATGAAGTCACACGAGACAATCACAGAACCAAAGGGCTGATGATCGCGCCCTAGGATCATCGATAATCGCCGTTCGAAGTTTGACTGGCCTTCCTTCGTCGATTTGTCTGACACAGGTCTGCATAGGCAAGGACAGGGAAAATAAAAAAGAAAGATGCGCCATCCTTTTGACGATGATGACAGGGTCTCTCCAGCCCAGCAAATAGTTGTCTGGCACGGACTCGATCGCTTTCGCTTGGAGTTATTTTTACTTTTCCCCCTTCTAGCTTGAAATCTTGACTCTTGTTTTCCTTTTTCTCCTCTGGCTTTTTTTTTCCCTGCCCCTTCCAATTAATGATGACTCCACATCGGCCTTGCGTGTGCTCTTCCCCCTCCCACAACCTCCCCCAATGCCCTTAGGTGCCTGGCTGGCCACCCTGGGCTCGTCGAATAGCGACTGTCTAGTACCAACTCTATCTTGCAAGCTATCGAGAACGAGGGCAAGCTTCTCATTCGACGATTCATCACAATTCTGCATTGGCCTGGAGATCCTGGGAAAGATCCCCCCGGGCTCTAGTGCAGCAAGGGCCTGACAGCTCCTCGAGTTTCCTTGAGGTCCCTTCATAAACTCGAGATACCTCGTCTCTTGAGCTGTCTGGTGTGTTCTCTCCTTCTTTCTTTCTTTTCTCTCTATTCTGGGTGAAGACTTCGTCCGGCGACTAGGTGGGCAACAGTTGGGTCACGGTCAGCTGTATATACAAATCCCGTGCACATATCCCAGTTGCATTCTATCCTTTTATTTTAGTCTTTCGTCCCACACGCTCATTACCCCAGTTGACTAGCTTTGTCAGTGCATCACACCTGCCTAGACACCGAGCCGCTGCCCTGCGTCAGATTTCTTGACTCAATTGAACCTTCTTGTTGATCACTTTGTCACGCTCATTGGTCTAGTCGTTCTGCCATACTCAATGCTGACCGTGCCTGATTCTTGTGCAAAATTCCGTGGCCATTCGAGCAGCTGGTAGCCAGCTGCGGTTCACATGCAACGGAGGACCAAGTCATATGACAGCCTAGTTGCACCGAGCCCAGTTGTCCCAACTTGCCGATTGAGTTACAGCACATACCGCACGGGAAGCTGCACCATGTCTCCCCTCTCACAAGAGGTTCGGGCAGAGAGCCCGGCTTTGATGCCATCCGATTCGAAGAGTGATCAAATGACCGACTTCCTGAAGTATATCGAGACTCCAAGCGGGGCCCCGCAGTCGACGGGGGCTCGCGATATATTCCGAGCCGGTCAAAGACGTCTCCGACAACTTGCTCAACGCCCACGGAAGAATCTCGACCCCCAATCCAAAGCTGAAGAGACGGCTCGTCAGCTGATGGCGCTCCAGGAAGGGGGATTCCTACCGTCGCATGTTGCCCTATCACCCAAGCTTGCACCCAAGCGATCATCCCACAAGCAAAGCTTAGACTCCAGCCGTTCCTCGTCCAGATCCATCACGAATCTCAGCTTCAAGTCCAGTTCCCGCAGAGACGTCGAAAGCATTGGACAGCCCTGGCTGAGTGACCCACTGGAAAAGAAAGACAAGCCTGATACCCAAGCCAGCCACCCTTCTTCGCTTGATCTCCGAGAATTGACCTCGATGGTGGAAGCGGCCGTGTCATGCCCCACGCAGCCAGACGATATCGACCCACCCCCTTATCGGCCAGTCGAAATCTCGGAGCAGAGTGCTTCGAGGTCAAATGACAATCGGACTAGCACGTTAAATCCGCCATCGGACCAGAACACTCGTCGCATGGAATGTATAGAAGAAGGGGATACTGCGGCCAGTAGGCCGGATACAGATGCTCCTGTAGGGATAACGCTGCCCCGAGATCAGCTGCGTGAGGAGCAGCGGGATTTGAACGCAGGACAAAGCTAACTTTCAATAGTCCCAACTCACGAAGGGCCAGAGCGCAGATTCCCGTCGATCGAGCACAGAATCCAAGGCTTCGGCATCTGGACCAGTGTTAGCTAGTACACAGAGCACTCAAACTCAACCTCATCCAACATTGAAATTGTTCCCCGATACGCTACCTCCGCGAGTATCTAGTAAAGGAGCGTGGCGCATATCAGGTGGCCGTCCAGCAGCGCCCGGCGGAGTCCTTCCTCTCGCACCTGCTCAACGTGCTATGATTGAGCCAGTGAGCGAATGTACTAAATCAGAAGCAGATTCTACGTCCACAGAGCAACAGCCTAGCACCGCTCCAGATAATCAGAACAAGGAGACATCAGGAGAACTGCAAGGAAAAGAAGGCACAGACAGCTCGAAGAGCGAGCCGCCGAAGAAAAGCTGCCGGCGGCCTTCCTCCTTGCCAATGTGCGCCATCGATGCATTTCCCATTCCAGCACCCATGAGACCTCTGCCATCATTACCTGAATTGGGTCCTGCTGTTACTGTCCACGAGCGGACAATGTCCGCCCGGCCCGCATCCTCTACAAGATTGATGCTAGTGGGCAAACGGTCAACTGCTGAGAATGATATTGAGATAAATGATGAGATCAATGGCGAACCAGCTGGATCTGCACCAAACGCGCCAGGGCCCAATACTCTGGTGCGAACAGGCCCAAGCCGTGCGGAGCGGGTCACCCTGAAGAAGCGTGATGTGACTACAGGCCGTCTCTATCTTAAGGGCCTGGACCCTCCTGAAGAAGGGAACGAGGAGGAACAGCCGGCCGATGCGTTGACACCGGAGCCTGAGACCTCCCGAGATGATAAAAATATCTCAAACGCTCGCAAAAACATCGAGCACCAGCCGGATTGCAACACACGGTATCAGCGAATAGTGGCTTCGGAGCCCCCATCGCCACCACCGCGCTCACCCCCGCCAATGAACCCAGCGAGACATTCCACTGGTCAGGCTGGTCGACAGTTTTCGGCCTCTGCGAACAAGTGGGACCAGGTTCTCTCCGAAGAGCTTGAGCTGCAGTCAAAGCTGAATAAGACGATTGGAGTACAGCGAAGCGGCAGCGTGCATAGCTCAAGCACTCAAGAGAGGTTGGCCAAAGAGAAGAGTCTCAAGGTTCGCTCTGAATCGCCACTGCCATCGTCCGATGACGATTGCACCGGTGCTAGTAGGCGGACTCGTCCAGCTGCAGGGCGGCGGCGTCGTTCCAGACCGACACCTTTAGCTTTCATGGAGCAGGCCACAAACAGGCCTCGCTCTGCCAAGAAGTCCTTATCGGGACATAAGATTCCACTGACACCCAGAGACTATCGATTGCATGGCTTTGAGGGCCACTCACCGGAGTCCTACCACTCTCAAAGGACCAACCAGTCGCAGGAATCACGAGATGCCAGGCAGTCGACCCAGATAATTGAGGCTCTCGAGGAGCGCATCACGCATCTCGAGCGACAAAATAAGATCTTGCAGGCTGCTCTCTTAGCCGCGCTGGATGTTGGCACCAAGCAAAGTCTGGAGACTGTGCTTGGGGGGTTGACTACGCCGCCGGCGACCGCAACCCCAGGCACGGGAAGATCTTTCTCATCGGGGGCCAGTACTTCGGTGTCGACACGTGCACGGAAGTCATACTCGAGGAGAAGCAAGAAACCCCCCTTTCGGCCTGAGAGCTGGATTGCTAGTCCAGGGTCTAGTCGGAGGGGTAGCTATGGGACGGATGATAGTGCCAATGTGCAGGAGCTCGAGGATATGATGGAGGACTTTGACTTGGACTGGATGTCGGAGAAGTCGGAGGCTTAGTGCAGGGAGGAGACTGCCAGGGTGGTACATGATGTGCGACGTGCACTTGTTGAGTGCTTTTTTCTAATCAATCTTTCTTGTGAGTATTACTATTGACTTGAGTCAATCCTGTTCAGCTTGGCTTCGCCGTGTCATTCTTTGATTTCCTTTGTGTTTTGCCCTTTGAAATCCACGATACCACTTTGTTTCTTTGGTTTTGGGTCTTGTATATTATGAGCAGCATTGAAGATATTTCTATGGATTGCGATGCATCGAGTCTTTGCAGCTGTACTTTTGGCTCTGAAGATAGGAGATTGTTCGCATAGTAAGTTATAGTGTAGTGTAAGTTAACTTAGTTGTAGTTGAGGCCCCTGATGAGTCAGCATGTAGACGGGAGCAGCAAAACAACACCGCCATAAACAGCAATCAGCAAACAGCACAGCTCACAGCTCATAGCTGAACTTTGCCCCTTCACAAAGCTTCCACCCCATCCCGCTTACCAGACAGTCCCTTGTTCAGGCAGGACATGCTTTATTTCCGGCCAAATTCCTCCCTTTAAGACTCCCCTCCTCTACCATCTCCTCAACCCCACAGCGCCGGCTCCGCGGTCAACAAGAAATATGGCGACCACCACCTCAGCCGTAGGTCTCCCCAGCCGATATCTTCTCGCTCCACGCTATCATAAAAATGATGATGAAGCTCACCCAGGCTTTTTGTTTCAGTCCCCGCAAATCCCCCACCACGTCACCGCCCTCCTCTCGCACCTCACCTCGCGCCCCGGCGTGCAGTCCACCTTCATTCTCTCCCGTAAAGACGGCTCCATTATTCAGAGCACGGGGTTATACGCCTTTTCGCCGACGACCCGTCGCCCGAGCAGACCTACACCTTCACCTACACCAGCACCTATCTCTAACCCAGCCTCATCGCCGTCGCCAGCCACAGCCCCAGCGACAGCTACAGCTACCCTCCCAAACCTGAACACTGTCCCTGTTTCTGGTTCTGGTTCTAGTCCTACAGCCCCGCACCCCGACCAACAACAAGAAGGAGTACAAGAACAGTCCACCAACCCGACAACCCTTGACGCCACAGAAACCGTCCCCGCTGTCCCAGCTACAGAAGAAGAAAGCGCAGCAGAAGCCGATCAACCGGACGAACCCCCCACGAACACAGACAAAGACACATCCCCCATCGCCAATCCCGACCCCACCACCCCGCAAACCCCACAAGTGACCACTCTCCCAATCCGAACTAAGGAATCAGCAGCAGCAGCAGCAGCGCAACAAGAGCATGAACAAGCGCAAGCCCAAGAGCAACAGCAAGAGAAATACACCCCCTCGCCCGCCGAGACCCTCGCCGCGCATATCTTCGCGTACGTGACGAGCGCGGCGGAGTTGAGTGCCGTACTGGCTGATCCGACCTCTGACGGGGCTGGTGGTAGGCAGCAGCTTGGGTATGGGGTTGGGGGTGGGGTGGAGGCTGGGAATCGAAGCGGGGAATTTAGGACTGGGCATGGAATTGGGCAAGGGCAAGGGCAAGGGCATGAACAAGGGGAAGGGGAGCGCGACGAGGAGGAAGAGGAAGGGGATGAGGTGAAGTTGTTGCGGTTGCGGACGAGGAAGCATGAGATTGTGGTGGTGCCGGATCGGAAGTATTTGCTTTGTGTGGTGCATGGGCATGGCTCTGGGCATGGGGGTGGAGCGGGAGCTGGAGCTAAGGGTGCGGTTGGGGGCGGGGTGAGGAGGTGATTTTGAGATACCTGGGAAGGGGAGAGTTGAATGGGTTCTGGGGGCTGTGGTTGGTGTGTATAGGTTAGAGGTAGGGATATACCCGGTGGATTTACATAGTATAAGGAGAGGTATGATGGTTTCTGATGATGCCAGTCCTATCAATTCTCCTTTGACGGTATGGATGCATAGTCGCGAGTACTCCCAAAAAAAGATAATAAGAATTAATCCAAATCCACCCCAACGACAGAAATGAGCTATAACGATAGATCTCTCACCATAACGACAACACCCCTCCCTCCACCAGCACAACCCACCCTCTAAACCACAAAAGCCCCCCTCTCAAAACCTCCCTACTCATCCTCCCCAGGCAACCGCACCCCCTCCCACCCCCTCCGACTCCCATCCCCCAAATCCCCCGCCGACCCCCACCGTCCAATGCCCCTCCACTCCGACAAATTCGCCCACCCAATCTGCTGCAACCCGCCAAACCCCCCGACCCAATAAACCTGCTGCACCACCAACCGCGCCCAGAAACTCTCATGCGGCGCCCCCTTCCGGTGCGGCAACCACGCCTTCGAATCCGGATGCGCACGCAGATAACACTCCGTCAGTCGCGCCTCCACCTCGTCCCTATCCCTACCAGTCGAACGGGCTACCGCCTCGAAATCAATCCCCTCCACATACCCCAGCAGCGTGACGCGCGGTAACCCCGCGGGACTCAGGGGAAACCCGGGGAACACGGGCTCGGTGCGGTTGACGTGGTCCCACCACGACAGGGAGAGCGAGAGGTTCGACCCGTGCGCTGTGTTGCGGAAGGTCGTGGCGACGTTGAGGGCCAGGAAGATTGGGTTGCCTTGTCCTGTTGCTTCTTCATTCTCTTGGGATGATGAGGAGGAGGGGCTGGAGGTGGTTGGAAAGAGGGCGTGCTCGCAGTCGGACAGGTACTCGGTCAGGCTGATGGAGTGGCCGGCGACATCCTCGGGGATGTGGGCGTAGGCGCGGCTGTTCGCGGGGAGTGGAGAGGGGAAGATCGTGGAGGCGGTGCCGGTGGGGGAGAGGGCGAGCAGGCGGCGGGCGAGGAGGGTGGATTCGAACCAGCTGGGGGCTTTGTATGCCTCCCTCTCCTCCTCCTCAGAGGAAAAGGAGAGGGAGGGGGATAGGGACGGGGAATCGGTGATGGGGTGGATGTGGTAGAACGCTGCGTCTGGATGCTCTGGGCCTAGCTCTGACCCGGGCTGGAGGAGGTGCTGTGTCGAGGAGAGAGGGTCGAGGACAGGTGAAGCGCCGCCGACATTCAGGAAAGTGGTGGTGCAGAGGAGGGCGAGGGTGGAATAGAGGGTTATGGCGGTCGTGGGGGCCATCTTTGCGGAGAGGTTCTCAGCACTACTGATGCTGGTGCGGATATGCTGCACCCTTGACCGGCACACAGAGGATGAGAGAGAGCTTGTAAGGAGTTAAGTTGTGGACTCGGGAGTGTTGTTGATGAACTGGAATGAACCGAGGTGACGCCAAGATGAGGGGAAGAATGGACCATCTGATCTTATCTGATCCCGCTAGACCCGACTTGTCGTCCCACTTCGCTCCATCCGGTGCTATTACAGCATGTGACCCTCTCCGTCTCTGACCGACCGGTGAATGAACCTTCCGGGCTCGTCCGACCTCGCTGCTTGTTCCGGTCCCTTCCGGACATGTCTGCCTCAGGCGTTACTGGGCGGGCAATGGGCGTAGGCCGGCAACAATGAGTCACTAGTGCCAACTAGCGTCTCCCCGGTGAACCAACGCAACAGACCCAAACAAACGCCCCTGACCTCTGGCCACTGGCCACTGTCCAAACGTATGGATCATCCCCGCCTGACCAGTTCATCCACATTTCCAACATCATACTTGCGGTGAGTCATACCGGCGCCCGCGGGGACCCTCACCTGACATGGTTCCTTGCGCTGGGCCAGAGTGAACTCATGGCTAGGCAGACTACGAATAGTTGGGTGGCGTCAAATCAGGCCATCTACACCAGACAAAGGCTTGATAACACATAGTATTGGTCATCGTCAAAGAGCCAATCGACTCTCATGCTTCTAACTATCAAAGAGTATCCGACTCAACTCCGCAGGGTGCGAGGTAAAATGTGCAGCCCCTCCCGATATGATGATGTGCACCCGCAAGCAGCCAATAACAGAAAGAAAAAAACCCAGGCCCTTCCCACCACACTCCAGTCCCGTAAAAACAAAATAACGATGGGTCAATAGGTAGGTGGTAATAAATGTGGACAAGAAAATGGAAAGTGTGCAGACGAAGACCTCCCCAACGTACATCGTACATCAGTGACCGCAAAGCCGCAGCCAGACAAAGAAAAAAGCAACAAGACTCCACAGAGTCGGAAAACCAGCTGGAGGGTATTTACAAAGACCACGACTTTTGTTTTCCCCTTAAGAACGCGCACGAATGAAAAAAGTTCGCACAAAACTTTTCCCTTCCCAGAATGCGTCTTCCGCTGCTGTGCTGCGAGTACACAAAGAGAGTCACTCGTTCGACGAGCTCAGAAAAGTCAATCAGAATAGGATTAAGCAATAGCTGATTTGTAAAGAGTGCCCCCGAGAGCGGGGCTGGAAGTGAAGGAATGAAGGCACCGAGTTCAACCCAAGTAGTCCGCCCGCATGCTCGGGTGAAGTGCAACCTTCCTGGCTTCGCTACCACAGCAGGCCCGTTTCATGCCGGCCGGACCGGACAGCGGCGCCGGGTAGTTAAAAGCATTCAACTGATGCAGAGTGAGCGACGGCGCAGAGCCAGGTCCAGATCCCATCAGCACATCCGCCATGCTGCCATCATAGAGCACAGGCCGCTCGGCCAGTGCGCTAGCCTTGGCCAACTGACGCACATGGCTCTGCAGTAGCATATCCTCCGATCCAGTGCGACCGCGCTTACGGCCTTGGCCCGTGGGTTTGTGCTGACGGGAAGTGGCGCCAGACAGTTCACACAGGCTTTGGGCCGCCTCATGCGTGGACGTCAAATCAATCGGGTGCTCCATAGAGTAGCCGGAGAGATCCGGGACTTGACCGATAGGACCAGTGTAACTTTCCGGGGAACTGTAGACCGGGCCAAGCGAAACTTCATCCAGGGGAGACACGATGGCTAGATTCTTTCGGCCCTCCTTCAGAGAATTGCCAGTGCAGCGGAGCGTAGCCTGTACGGCCAAACGAGGCATCGAGGCCCCCGTGACCGAGGAGCACGACGACATGGAAGACGACCGCGAGGACTGTGAGGACAGAGTCGACACATCCGACACCATCGAATCCGGAGACGAGGTGGAAGAGGCCGAGCGAGCCAAGGAAGACCGGCGTACGAGGCTAGGGTAGCCATCAAACGTGCTAGGCTTAGGACAAAGCGATAGCGGCGGGCGCTGGTCGTAGACCGACCGCGCCGTGCACATACCTTGTACCTGCGACATAGCAGCTTGCATGTAACGCCGATGAGCAGCCACACCGCCAGCACTCACTGCAGGAGTGGAGGCGATGCTCGACTGGGGGGTCATCTGGGGAGTCGGCAGCATCTGAGGCTGTGGCATGGGTGGAAGGGACGGCAGGGAGTTCTCCCGTTGGACCATCGATTCCAGAGCCAATGGAGGCAGAGAGACAGAGTCATTCGTAGGAAGCCTGGGCAATTCCCTCCGGATCGAGGTGCCGCGGGGAGATGGCGATTCTGCCACGGAACAGGAGTCGAACGCTCCTATGCTCGAGGGAGTCGCAGGGCTGGCGTCCAAGTCGTCCAACTCGGGGGTGAGCTTGGGAATGATCGTGCGCCAGCACTGGCCATCATCGACCGGCATGCTGCTTGCGCCCGGGGTGAAGCGCAGCACGATGTCAGTCCACCGTTGAAACAGTGACTCGGGGATGTGAAGTCGCCAGTTAACTGCTTCGAGGAACATGAGCTCATTCTGGTTGATCTCGGCGGTATTCAAGCCGGAGATCTTGCTCCAGGCACGAGCGGAGTAGTTGCGGTCCTGGAGGTATTTCGAGGCGAGAATCAAAGCCGCCAAGAACATGCGCCGCCCGCACTGCATAGCCCGACAAGCGGACTTGCCTCGGGATTGTTGGTCTTGCGTCAGATCGTGGCTGGGCACGTGCGACTTGATCTTGATCAAGTAGTACAAAGCCACCTGCAACGTGCTGTAGCTAGTGCGCGAGCGACGGAGTGTCTCTTGGATGAAAGTGCGGAGGGGCAGCACGCCTTTGCAACCAGTCGCCGAATCACTCCGGAGCGACACTGCGGATAGTGGCCAAATGGCCTCGACGATCTGCGACGCGGTATCTTCATGGGGTGGTTCTTAGCTCCGATACTTTTTTTAACAACGTGTTCAGGAGTCTCTCCACAACTTACCGACAAGGTTATCAACGAAGTTCACCTTCCGCTCCGATTGTCTCAAGAGACAGGGCGGAGGCCGCGTGCATGATGCGCCGTTCGCCTGAGTGGCGCTGTTGGTCCGCCGGGGATGCTTACGCAACTCGGGCGGGACAACGGCCGACTCGGCAACTCGGGGAGCGTTTCCCCTTAAGCAACCACGTGCTCCCACCACCGAGAGGCCCCTTCCTCCAGCCGCGTATTCTCCTTCATTCTCCCAGATCACGTCCACCGGCAGCGTGGCAGCGGAGGAAACCGAGCTTTGGGCAGGCACGCCGTCCAGCGAGAAGACCGAGGAGGTAGAGGAAGAGGCGGAGGAAGAGGCCGACGATGCGTAGGGGTGCGCATAGGCTGCTCTGATTTGAGAGTTCGGGTTTGGATCCTTCAAACCCAAAACGTCAATCCCTGACATATCCGGGATGATGTCCAGTCGAGAGACCTTGAATACTTTTAACAGATAGAAAAAAGATTCGAAGTACCTCAGATGGTCATCCAGAAGGCTGGCAACCTGTTGCTAGACTTCTCAACTGCTGGGGAGCCGCGGAGATGGCCAAGAAGTGTGCGTTTGAATTTGTACCGGGATTATCAAGTAACCGTTATGCTGTAGACCGTAAACGAGTAGCCGTAGGACAGAAAGCCGTCTTTTTATGAGCAGGCGACGGCAAACCCTTAGTAGCGAAGAATCGCCAGTGTGGTATGAGTCGAAAGTGTGAATTAAGGTGTGAGTCAGGGGAAGGCGACAATAACCATCCACCACAGACGTGGGTAAATAGCTGGTGGAAGAGAGGTAGCGAGGTTGGGTGCGAAGAGGACGAGAGTTAGGTAGGCAGTGGGTAACCGTGTTATTCACCGTCTACTGTTCCGATCACCGGGTGTAGAGTTTCCGGAGATATCAAGCCGAATATTGCGCAACAAAAGAGACACGTAGGATGACAACGTGATTCTTTCCGGTGACAGATGCCGTTTATGTCAAAGAGCACTTTAGATAGAAGCGATCTTGCCAGAGATTCGGATATCTGAGACCAAGGAAGCAGCAACACGGGCGATCGGAACAAGAGATTTCGAAACAACAGGGTACATCTTGAGGTATGGGGTGTAGTATATCAAGGGCCGATAGAACGGCGAACTGTCACAAACAAGCAGGCGGCTACTGTATGCAGCGGCGCTTGTTCAGGCAGTCAACGGTCTATCGGATAAGAGGGATAGCGCGGTGGAGGAGTTGGTAGTTGGTGAGGCTCAAATAGGCTGAAGGCGAAAAGGGATCGAGTCAGCAACGATCAAGTCAGATAACTAATCTTTTTTTATGATTTCGGGAGGCGTTGTGTAGATATGAGTGTGTGTGCGCAGTTTTATGATGACTCTTACTCCGGATCTCACTAGGCAAGGAACCGAAGAAGGCTTTAGGCTTTCTCCTGTCCGGGTGACTATTAAGAGGCGGCGGGCGGAGCACAAGACAGACAAACTGACAATAGTGACTAACTTGGGGGCGATCCAGTTGCCAGACTAGCCAGACTAAAAATGATTCAGGTTGAGATGGCAACCTGAAATCAGGCAGGGAGGCAAAATAGCAACACACCGGGAGAGGGAGGGAAAAACAAGAAGACCAGACTATTCGAGTAAAAATGGAAAGCGTGGTTACTCACCGCGGGCGAGAGTGGCGAGAGTGGCGGGACTTTGGTGGGTGTGAGTCGAGCGGACGCAGGGACCGCTTTTCTTCAGGGCGAGTTCAAGAGCGGAGAGACAGAAACAACGGGGAAACAATGGGAAAATCAGACCACCAAAATCCAGTACAGAAGAAAGAAAAACAATGGACTCTGGCTCACACTCTCTTCCTAAAAGGGGAACAATAGAAAAGGGGAGAGGGGAGTGTGGGGGAGGAGGGAAGGGAATAGAGAAGAAAGAAAAGGAAAGGAGAAGAGAGGCACGGGGGAGAGGAAGAAGAAGAGGAAGAAGATGAGAGTCGAGG